TTTTTTGGTGCAGGGTCTCACTACACAGCCCAGACTTGTAGTGATCCTCCTGATTTCTGCCTCCCTAGTGCTGGGGTTACAGGTGCACGCCACCACGCCCAGACTCCATTGCTAGCTCAGTGCACCCCGGGGGTGGGGCTGATGTGGCATGCGGAGCCAGGGACCAAACCCTGGCCCCTGAATATCATTTATATGTTAAGAATTCTTGATTTGCAGGGCTGGCCAAATAGCTCAGGAGATTAAAGCACCTGCTTAGGCAGACACAGTGGCTGGGGTTTGATCCCCACTGTGCCATTTGGTCCTGCCCTGATGGCATGCTGAGAGGAGATTGTGGGCGTGGTGGCATGCACCTATAATCCCAGCTCTTGGGAGGCTGAACATAGGCAGATTACTATGGGTCTGATCTACATAGTGAGACCCTGTAGTCCCTACAGACCCTGTACAAAAAAAAAAAAAAAAAAAAATCTTAATTTGAGACTGGTGAGATACCTCAGCAGTCTAAGCACCTGCCTGGCAAGTGCAAAGACTTGGGTTTTATCCCCAGTACCACATGCTGTGCCTGCCCCAGAACCCCAGGCATACCATGCCAGCCACTGAACCCAGACGTGATGGTGCACACCTGTAATCTCAGCAATGGGGAAGCTGTGAAAGAAGGATCACTATTTGTCTGAGCTGCATAGTGAGACCCTATAGCAAGTAAATGAATAAAAAGAAAATTTCTTTTACTTTTTTTTTTTTTTTTTTTTTGGCATAACCAGAAATTGAACTCTTGCCCCTGTACTTGCCAGGGAAGTGCTTATTCCATTGAGCCATCTCCCAGCCCCAAGAATTTTTGATTAATATCTTCAAGCACAACTTCTTCCCAAGACCCCAGGCTTTCCTATTTAGCCCCCCATTCCACACCTGTGTTTGCAACTCTTCCCCAATTTAACATTTCCAAAGCTCAAGTCTGGGTGTTTCCCTAACTCTCAAATCTTTTTCCTTGGAGTTCTCTTTCCATTTACTTCATTCTTTCCATTACTAGTGACAAGAGCCCATAGTTCTTGATGCCTTAGATTCCTTTGCATATTTTCATTCCAAATTCTCTTTGTTCGCAAGCCTGATTCCTCTATTTTCAAAATCTAGGGGTGAAGCCATGTTGGTATGTTGGACTGTAAAGGGCTCAGGTCAACAACTTCTGACATTGCCAGTCCTGCGGAGGACCCACTACTATTGTGGACTACTGCACTATATTGGAATATTTTGCTGAATTCACGTACTTACAATATTTAAATGACAATGGAATATCCTTCTCTGACAAAACTAAACAAAAAAGGTGAAACAAATGAATGACCATTTTGTATCTGTATATTCAAAAATAGGATAGATATACAGCTACATTCTCTTAATTCAATGAATAAGATTTGTACTAATAGTATTTGTGGATGGGATGTCATGTCTGCATCTTGTACAATGAATAACCACTGAGGCAAAAATGTGCAATGTATTTATTATTGATACTGTCCTACTGATCGGCTTTGAATCTGTCTCATTGTTGTTTCTCAATAAAATTATTTAAAAAATCTATGCAGACTTTGGTTGTTTCTCCCCCACCTTCATTGCTATGACTCTGGAAAAGCTACTACCATGTCTTGTCTGGATTACTGTAGGCATTACCCCAGGTGATATGTTTGCTTGTCTTCCTTGCTTCAAAGAAGCTTATTTTCTACATAAAAGTAACAATGTGGCCGGCCAAATAGCTCAGGGGATTAAGGCACCTGCTTAGGCAGATGCAGCATCCAGGGGTTTGATTCCCATTTTGCAGTGCCGGCCCCACCCCCAGGGTGCGCTGAGACAGTGATTGAGACTAGGAGTGTTGGCGCACGTGCCTGTAATCCTAACTCTTGGGAGGCTGAACACAGGCAGATCATTATGAGTCTGATCTACATAGTGAGACCCTGGAGACCCTGCAGACCCTGTACTAAAATATAAAACAACCCCCCCCAAAAAAAAACCAAAAAAACCCCAAAGCAACAATAAAAGCATTCAAACATGAGTCATATATTGTTAACTTCTGCTCCAACTGGAGCCATAGCTGCCATTTAACTTAGAGGCAAAGCCAAGGACCTTACACTGGCTCATGCAGCCTTTTAGGGCCTGTTGTCCCCATTTCCCTCTCCATCACTTCCTCTGCACGAGTCACGGCAGCCTCTCTGCCTGCCCTTGAGTGTGTTAGTCATGCTCCTGGCCTGGGGCTTCTGCACCGGTTGCTCTTGCTATTAGGCATGCTTTTCCTGCAGCTAACGCATTACCGTGTCCTTCATGTTTTCCAAGATTTTGCTCAAAAGAGTCAGCCTTGGTGAATGCTGTCTGCTTTCCAGGGCTTCTCTCTCCATTCTGGTATGGCTAGTTTCCCCAGTGCTATTCTTTTCTCTTAACGTCCACTAATCTATTACTTAATTGTGTTATTTATGTCTTGAATTGTATTTTTTTAGTGTCATATACTACTATATGCCAGGCACACATAGGATTCTGATGTACAGGCATCAATTAATATTTATTGAGTGAATAAAGTTTGTGATCTGTACAATTCTAAGTGGTGAAAAATTTGATCTCAGAGGATGTAATTTTATAGCTTTTCCCTCCAACCACAGTGTAGTACCATCACTGTCCTCATTATTCTAAGATTAATTCAGATGCTAACTTTAATGAAATTGATTTTCATATTCAGAGTTAGCTATTCTTTTACTTTCATGGAACCTTGTCTGACCAAGTTTTCAGTGCCTAGTGGACACATTTGATGTCTGATTTTTCATATAGCATGTAAGGCATTGATTAAGTCATTGTGAATGATGAAAATCTGAGAAAGGAAAAGAATATTGATTTACAAATTAGCAGGATAACATTGGGTAAGAAATTTGAAATTTGAAGAAAATTTCCTAAACCCAGCAATCTTCAAATTAGTAGCAGTTTAAGGGAATTGAGAGATTGCTCTGATGATGTTAGGACAACAGAAAGTACTCATGAATGTGTTCTGTTGAGCAATGCAGCAGTGACAAAAACAAAACAAAGCAAAGCAAGACAAAACAAAACAAAACAAAACTCAGTGAAATACTGAAGTGAGAAGTCAAAATTTCTGGGGCTGCGACTAGGGCTGGGCCTATAGCTCATTGGTAGAACGTTTGCCTAGCATGCCTAAGGTTCTGGATTTGGGAACAAGAAAGATTTTTCTAATTGGAAGAAAAACTAAATAGGCTACAACTGAGTGATATATATATATATATATATATATATATATATATATTTCAACCTGTAAATATTTTCTGATTTGGACATAAAATTAATCAGGACCTAAGCACACACTCTGCATATGCTTTCTGATAAAACAACTCAGCAGAACTAAAGAGAGGTTTGTCTCCTAATTTCCCTTGTGCTTTCCACTTTTATTAACTCTTTTCATCAATTCAACTACACAAGAATGGATCATACTTTTACTCCAAATATGTCAAATAGTACCCAAAGGTAATAGATCCCTAACTGTGGGCTTCTTACAATTTTGAGAATGATAACATCAGGGATGTAACTTCGTGCAAACAAGCAATCCCTTGTTTGCCAACTCAAAAGCAACATTTCCTAAAATAATATTCAAAAGTTGACTTAGAACACACAAAATGGAAATAATAAAAATCAAAGTCAAATTTGCCACTGCACACTTTAGATACACACACACACACACACACACACACACACACACAAAAGCATTTTGTTTATTTATTTATTTATTTATTTATCTATTTATTTATTTTTTCAGAACCGGGGATTGAACTCAGGCCCTTGTGCTTGCCAGACAAGCATTTATTCTACTGAGCTATCTCTCTGGCCCCATAAAAGCATTTTAAAGATGCCAGATAAAATATCAACAAGACCTAACTTACCTAGCCATCTGCAGATGCTTTTTCCTAAGAATGACAAGGGTGACAAGCAGCAGGCCGATTAAAAGCGTGCTAAGGATCGCCAACACGGAGATCACCACCACGTTAGGATTCATCTCTGTAACTGAAGAAAGAAGCCACATATTGTCATTATATGTTCCCTTCTAGGCAGAACAACAGAACCCTGTGGCTTTCTATCTAAGAGTAGTAAACTTGCGATGATAACAATAAGGGTCACAGTCTTGTTTTTCCAAGTCAACCAGGACCTTGTCTTTAACTACAATTTAGCACACTGATACATGGTGTTCAGGTCCCTGGAAGAGTTGAATCTCTTTCAAAGGCTCACAATATTCAAGATATCCTTATAAAGAGGAGCTACGACATGTGAAGAATGTCTATGCCACAGCTTAAGTTCACTGCAAATTCGAACTCTAGAAGTCATTACCATGCGTTACCCTTGTTTAACATTTTCAAAAGCTTTGAAGGTGGAACGTTAGTATTTTATACGCAGGACTTTAACGCCAGAAAGCACAACTGTATACTTTGCTTGCAACTAATAATGTATATGAAAAAGGCATTAGCAAGCTGCCGTCTGTTGCAGCGCTCAACACATTAGTCGAGGCAGCATTCTGATGATCTGTGGCCATATGTTCAGAGGTTTTCCATGGGCACAAATCAAGAGATTAAGTCTATTAATATGTTGCAGGGTCCTTAAGAATAGGGAATGTGTCACTTTTCATATATTTTACGCAATGACTGGCCACTGTGGCACTTGTATGCAGCCAGTTCTTCACACGAGATGGATGAACAGGATATAAGAAAGGGCATGTATTAAAAATCTTTATTCAATTGTGTGAAGCAGCTAGAGGCTACTGTCCTATGCACTGGTCATGACATCACAGGATTCACCTCTACGGCTGTGGGTGTTCGCTACTTTATATTTGGTCCAGGTTGGCTCCAGTTTATAGGCTGAATCACAGGAAGAGTAGTTGACTCATGGTGAGAAATGCTTGTCAAGGTCACCTCACTACTAATCGACACTTGGGGACACCATTTATCAACCCCGCTGAGCCTTGTTTTTCTCACTTGCAAATAAGCTTAATAAAACCACCTGTTACACTAGGTTAGATTCTTATGGAGAGACATGGAATAACAGACATCAAAGTATACTTAGAAAATTGTAACAGAATACAGACACAAAATGCCATTAAAGTCTTTACAGGCTTACTGTTTGTTCTTCTGAAAAAGCAAAAATAAAAATGTTTTTTTAAAAAAATCATTCTAGTATCACTGACAATGGTAGCTAAATATATGACTAGTATTACAGAGATGAGAAGAAATTAACTAAGGGAACGATGTGATAGAAAGAATAGCTTCATAAAGGGACTCAGATGGGGACACCTGACACTAACAAATCAGGGGACATCATATATAGCACCATCCAGGAAGAGAATAAGGAGACAAACATCATTCCAGACCTACACTTCCTGCTGGATTACAACTTTCTTGTTTAACTCAGTAACTTAGGTACTGGCATTGTTTGACCAGTACTAAGGCGGGTCAAAGGCCCAGAGGTACAATAGACGAAACCTAGTTCATCAGGGTCTTATACCTACTGCCAAAGGGTCATGGTGATGAAGTTGGTTATAACCATTAGCATGTAGACAGCACAAGCTAGGGCTGTCTGTATTCTATTTCTGAGCTTCAAAACAACCGAAAAGGAAATATGTTATTACTCTAATTACACAGACAAAAAGTCTCAGAGACAGGAAACAGCTTTCCCTAAATCACATATCTCATTAGAATTAAGGGGTACCTGATCCCAAGCTTGGGATTTTTTTTTCAATAGAACATTGGTTCCCCTAAAAGGAAGATTATACATATTTCTTTAAAAAGTAAAGAGAAAATAGAAATAAATAACTTCCGAAGGCCAGATTGCACTGGTGCACATAACTACCCATTGTTGAGACTGCTATGAATGTAGGAACACTGGGGCTGCCATGGCTGAAGCTGGTGACACTGCAGTTGTAGGCGGTGGCAGGCAGGAGGCTGGAGACAGTCACGACATGAGAAGACACAGCAACAGGCTCCTGGAGGTGCAGAAAGTGAAATACGGTTAATGTTCATCCTCATGTCTTTTGTTTTAAAAATAATATATGCAAGATGGAAAAGAATAACCGCAAAAAATAGTTTTTCTTCTTTTATTTCCCATCTCCCCAGTTTGCTAACCGGGAAGCAGCCACTGTGGCCACATACTGTTTTCCCCTATGCGTGTTTTATGGGTGCATAATCATCTAAGACATGCAGCATGGGTGTAAATGGTGCCACAGTGCATACATTTTTCTGCTTTTCATAGAACCTTTGTTATGAGCATACTTTGGAACTCTTTCCATGTCAGTACAGGTTTAACCGCTTTATTCTTCTGAAGAGATGCGCAGAGCTTACGGAGAGCGATCATTCAGCTCACCGGGCCCCATACTGATGAGGGTTTAGATGCACTCTGAGTATTTTTGTGCTATTGCAAATGTCGCTACCATGAGCGTAATTTCACAAATGTGGCTAAGTTATACAAACACACACATGATGTTGTATGCACCCACAGGCACACATAAAATCTATGTGAATATGAACACACACACGCGCACACACACGTGTGCACACACACACGCACACACACTCATGTGTGTATTCTTAGCGGCAGCTGAACTGCTGACTCAGCAAAACATACATTCCTAACATCACCAGCTATTAACAGTCTCCACAAACGCTGCTCCTCCTACTCGCCTCTCAGCGACATGTGTCAGCACCTGTTTTCTGACGCTTCCCCCAACACAATGCTTTCACCACGAGCTTTCCCAATAGTATTGTGAACTTTCATCTTATAGTCTTATTTTGTACTATTTTTTTCTTACCGCAATCTATTTTCCATATGTTCAAGAATGTTTTGTACATACATTTTTTTCCCCATAGATATTTGCTTTGGGTTGCTGGTGCTTATTCTGTTTATTTATTTGACTGGAAGCAATTCTTTAAATCTTAACAACCATATACCTTTTACCTGCATTTTCAGCTTTCAGCAACTTGTGTTGCACAAGAACACTTACTATCTGCCTCTCTTTGCTTGCTTTGCTTCTTGTTGAGAAGAGCAAGTTGCTCACTCGGTGGACCAGTGGCCAGATTGCTGATAATTATTGCTGTGCAATAGGAAAAGACGAGTGGGCATAACACTCCATTTCCAAACATGGTTCTGGAATGGCCCAGCAAAGGAAAGGAGCCACCAGCACCGACTCCCCACTCCCATCCCTTTCTTTCTTCCATGAAAGAATGACTTTAAGTGAGGAAAGAACTTGCTCAGGGGCTCCGTTGTGGCAAGAAGCTGATCACTGTGTTCTTCCAGTAAGAGAATACTGTAGTCACAGAAAAGCAAATTCACTACGAGCAGAGCAGTCATTTGATACTAATGTTCTTAGAATACAACACAAATTCAGCTGCTCAGCACAGACCAAAACAAGAGACATTTGCAGAGGAGAATGTCCAAAAAGGGAGAGCAATCAAAGCAAATTACCTTAGTGCTCAGTGTGAAAAATTTATACTGCCAACAATCCTTCCCCTTCAATCTCATGAGCTCTGTCTTGAAAAAGTGTCAGTTATTCACTTATGGTATTAGTCTTTATGCTGGAGTATGTAGAGCCCGTCACTAAGCAGCTCTTTCCCATCTGACCCAATGAACAAACAACTCAGTATTTTATTGTTTTCACTATTTGTGATTCTAAAACATTATGAATAACTATCTCTTAAACTTTATTTCCAAGAAAATCGTTCTCCTTGTCAACCAGAGATATATGTTTTCTTTTAATGTCTCTTTGTAGCATAAATCTTTCTTGTGGTACTTCTATTTTGCTTTAGTTTTTTAATTTAAAAAAATTATTTACTTATTGATTTATTTAGTACATGGGCTCACTGTGCAGCTTGGACTTGGAATGATCCTTCTGTCTCACCTCCCTAGCTCTGAGATGACAGGCATGTGCCACCACACCCGGCCAGCATGGCTGAGGCTGGCACAGCATGTGGTATCAGGAACTGAATTTGGGTCTTTGCACTTGCCATGCAGGTGCTTAGAACACTGAACTATCTCCTGAGCCCTTTACTTATTTCTCTATACATAACAAAACAAACATGAAGACAGATGTTGACTCTACCACTTACGTTCTATCCAGTGTTTTTCACAGAATGGACAATTGGTTCACATTTATTAAATTATACTTTATACGTTAAATTTTATGTTATATTTATTTTATGCAGCTGAGAGGGCAAGCATATTGTATTTGTTAAATTTTATTTTAGATTGGTTCATCCTGCTAGTGAACTAGTTCCTTAGTGAGACAGTTCCTTCATTTCTTTGTATGTCCTGGAGTGACAAAAAATAAGCACCAACAGAAAATCTCTTAGAAGATACTCTTATTCTGAGCACAGTTTTACTTCTACTGCTGAAATGCAAACAAGTAAATAGACAGCTTTCACTTCTGGCAGTTCAGAGACAGAAGAACTTTGTTTTCTTCCGATATTTACCATTCATTGCATTGAACCCAGAAAAGGAAAGTCAAAAGGTACAGTACCTGGACTTTGGTTCCCTGACCAGAGCCAATCTGTTGGCAGAAGACTTCGAAGAAATCCGCTACTCCCTCCTCTACCCACAGCAAAGTCACTGAGGTCTGGGTTTTGTTCACTGCGAAGAGTGATTTGGGAGGAGCTGGTTCTGAAGAAATAAAAGGGATTTAAAAAAAATAATTAATTTAACAGAATGTATTTCTTCTTTTATTCATAAACAGGTAAGAGCTCCAAAAAAAGTTCTTATGTAGGTAGTGAGAGCCTGTAAAATCTTGACTGTACATTGTTTTTGAAACATGTTCCTTCACAGTCACTGAACTAGGAAAACTGAAGGTTTTGTCTTGTTTCCCCTTTCCACTTTATACTTCTCTATTTTGGGACACTTCTGTTTTCTACTTCAGCTTTCATATAGCCCTAATCTATTAATAGGTTTGGTGTCATCTCTCCTGGAGTTAGCATTGCCCTCGGAATGCAGAACTTTTTGGAGGAGATGCAAGAGTCTGTACTTAACAAGGCCAGAAAGATGAAAGTGGTGTGCTTCTTTCTAATGAAGAGATTCTGGCTAGTAGCTGGCCAGCAGTCTGTCATCCTTCTCTGGAGACTCAAGGATAATTCAGTCAGAGGAATGGCTTCTTGGAAAGTTAATCAAAGTTAAGGGGGACAAACCTAAGCAGATAATGTGATTTTTAAAGAGGAAATGATTGATGGAAGAGGACTGGATGATTAATGACATTTGAGAGGTTTTTTTTTTTTAATCCTAGAAATTTTATCTTGTTCAATAAATTAATCCATTAGTCAAGGAAGCCAGGCTGTCATGCTCATTTCCAGGAATTAAGTCTCTAGATGGTTTGGCTGGAGACCAAAACCCGCTGGGTCTTCAGTTCTAGTGAGAGCTCTCCTCACCCATCCCTCCTTCCTGAATCTCTCCTGGCTGACCACAATTTTAAAGAGGAACTTAAAGTGCGGACTTTTCCTCCATTTCCAGCTCAAGGCCTGAACCTGTTGTTAGGTCCCCTGACGAGAACCGCTTGGGCATACCACATCTTGTTACCTGCTTCACACAGTAGCCAATTCTGCCTTCCTGACACACTCCTATCAGAGAACTATCACCTGCAGTTGGTTGGGTTTCTGTCTGCTTTCCAAGACTGTTCTCAGATCTTAGCTTTTAACAGTGCTTGAAAATGTAAACCAGTTTGCCCATTTCACAGGCATATATGTATTTTGCAAAAAAAAAAAAAAAAAAAAAGAACTTTTTTCTAAAATATCATCATTGTGGTCCAGTCCAGAAGCCAGAAATATGGAAAAAAATATGTTTAAAACATCTTTTTTTTTCTTTGTGGTACCAGGGATGGAACTTGGGACCTTGCCCTTGCCAGACATGCTTATGCTGCTGAGCTAGCTCCCCAGCTCTAAAAAATTCGTTCTTGATATGTTTTATTGCAGATAACCTAAATTTAAGTCCAACTACAAGAAAGCATACTTTTTCCCCAAAGGAAACTTGACAAGACAAGGAAGGTAAGTTACAGGAAGAAACAGGCAAGTCAGTCTTGGACAAGCCAAATTCATAACTGATGACAGGATTCCTCTGGTTCACGTGCAATGAATCATCCCTTCCTGTAGATGTTGGGCAGTCTCATTTCTCTTCTGCAGAAGAGAAGCCAATAAAACTGAGTTTCTGATGAGGCACGCTGGCCAGGCTGCACTCCCCACACCTTTCATAATTGTTGCTCCCAACGGGATCACAGTTTTCGGGCTGCAGAAATGGAGGTGTAGCACTGACTTGTGTAGAACTGGGCACCCACTTGGCAGGCGAGTGTGAAGTTACTGGGCAGAGTCCAGTGATCTGTTAGGTGAGCCTGGGTTTTGGTTGTTTTCAAAATGCCTGTTGTAGCATTGCTCCTCAGAGAGAGGGTCTTGCACAATGATCAGATTCCCTAGGATGTCTACATTTTTCCTATTGGTAAGGAAATAAAGTTTAGCTATTCAATAATCTCTGGATCCAGCTACTGACAGCTGCATCCTGAGTCACCTGTCATCTGTGCCTACTCTCCAGCCCACCATTGCCTCTAGCTCCATAGGCTTGGAAGTGAATCTGGCAATCACACCTTCTCATAAATCCGTTTTGTTTCCTCACTGCTCCTGGCTCTTTTAGGGACATAAATATACCTTAAGTTGTCTAAAAGAAAAAGGCTGAAGGTGTGCTCTCACTCCTCAGTCCCAGTATTCTTTTAAGAGTTCCATCCTATCTTCCTTACGCTGTTTTTAAAATGACACTGCCTATCTAGACTTTTTCATCACACAAAACCAAACTTTATTTTATTTTATTTTTGCAGAACAGGGAATTGAACTCAGGCCCTTGCACTTGCCAGGGAAGTGCTTATTCCACTAAGCCATCTTCCCCAGCCCCTGAACTGAGGCTAGAATTTTATTATTTTTACTTATTTTTTGTCAGAACCAGGGATTGAACTCAGGCCCTTGCACTTGCCAGGGAAGATCTTATTCCACTGAGCCATCTCCCCGGCCCCAAAACCAAACTTTAGCAAATCCTGTCCCTTCTCTTGGGCTCCCAGTAGTTCATTTTGTCAATGAGAATTTAAGTCAGATTAAATTCTGCTTGACTTAGGTGAATCCTAGTTATGCAGTGTCTATTTTTTATTAATTAAATCTATTGGTGCATTTTAGGTATATGTAATGATTACATTCCTTATAGGGTATTTGTACCTACACATGGTGTAACTTGATTCTTTCCCCCATTCTCCTACCCTTCCTTCAACTCCTCTTCACCTTCTTATTTACAAAAGCTTTTATCCCCACATTTTTCCTTCTTTTCTCACAGTATCTTATCTAAATACACCAAGTTTTAAAGATCTACTCAAGTTGACTACATGTCCCTCAGGTTCACCAGCAACCCTACACACAGGGAGGTTGCCACTTGGTAAAACCGGTCCTCACTGACCTTCGCCAGACTGTGTTCTTTCTCAACTCACATGTTTCCCCTCTTTTCTCTGCACATTCTGAGATCAGGAAAAGTCTAATCTTCTGCCTGAAGCCTTACCTGATGGCTCTGTTCTTCTGGTCATTTGTCCCCTTTTATAACCTGGGTTGCTTTTAAATATTACCTATTTGATCTCTTTAGTAAAATTGGGATTCTACTGGATCCTACTAAATTTCTTAAGAATGAGGGCCAAGTGTGATAAATTACTTTGTCTTTACCTTGAACTAACCCGCTATAGCTTCTCAGCATCTCTTATTTATTGGAAAATGTAAAAGGAGTCAGGATTTATTATCAAGAAGTTTCAAGATTATGGTGTGTGTGTGTGACTCTGACACAGTGTGGTTTCATTTTTATGTTCTCTGTCTTTAAACAATTGGAGGTCATTCTGATAAAACAATTGGATTTCTGTGACAGTCAAGGACTATTATGAATATAATAAGGGCTCTCATTGGTCCAAGGAATAGGACATGGAGACCAGAGTAGAAGTTCTTTTGACCTGGCTGCAAATGTGAGTCCAGGTAGTAAATAGGGTCCACGGTGGAAAGCTCCAAAATGGCTTCAATCTCCAGCAGCCATGTAACAACTTTACTTTTTTGGTGGACTATGAGGACCATAGATTATTCTGGGGTCATTTCACTCTTATGAAAGACTCCTCCAGATGAGCTCTGCAATGAGTAATGCACACAGATCATCTACTCATGGGTTACTTAGGATCTGGGTGACAGATATCTTCTCTAAATGAACTAGACAGAAATTTGAGCCTAATATCTCAAAGGAAATAAAGTTATTGCAAGGTTTTAGAAATGAAGGTGTAACTGGATTGGAAGGTGCTTCCAATTGAATTTTACTGCTCATGGAAACATCTCTCCTAGGGAACGTATTCAAATGTAAGAACTATGTTGTCCAACACAGCCATTAGCCATACATTAGCCATTAACAACTTCAAATTCCTGAGCACTTGAAACATGACCAGTTACTATGAAAAATGCTGCAGATGTATGTAAATATGAACTGAATTTTGAAGACTCAGCATGAAAAGAAAATCTAAATAATTCTTTATATCAATACCATTTTGGAATTTTTAAAAGAAAATATAAGGAACTCAATTTTATCTGTTGTTCTGTCATACTATTTTTTAAAATATAACTACTAGAAAATTAAAAATTATGTATAAAGTTCTTATATCTCACTTGGATAGTACTGGGGTAGAGTATCTCTTCCTGTTTGCTAGAGTACATGTCTAGAAATTCTTGCCAGAAGCTGGTTGGAAAGTTCCTCTCTGCTGTCTGATTATGTTGTCTGATTAAAAAAAAATGAGCTCAACAGTACAGCCTACGGTGTTTTAGGGCATTCATGTTCCCTATCCCCTGGTACTGTGCTTAATGGGTAAAGGCGAAATAGTGCCTAGGCCACGCATGTGATGGGGAATACAGTGTCATGCAGGGACATTTTGATTGCTCTCCATGTGCAGCCCTCAAATTTGTCACTTTGGATCCTTAACCCTTATAACCTCAAAATATGACTGTATCCCAAGACAGAACTTTTCAAGCAGGAATGAAGTTAAAGTAGTGCTCTTGGGTTGCACTAAAATCCAATCTGGCAGGTAGCCTTAAAAGAAAACCATGTGAGGACAGCGAGAAGACAGTTAATCATCTGCCAACCAAGGAGAAAGCGTCAGGAGAAGCCCATCCTGCAGGCACCTTGACCTCGAACTTGCAGCTTCCAGAACTTGAAGAAAGCAAACTTCTATTATTTTAACCACTTAGACATCATATTTTGTTATGACAATCTTAGATAACTCATGCAGTCTCTCACTATAAAAACATCGAAAAATCAACCAGTTCATAAAGCAGGAGGGTGAAGTAAAAATAATAATGTGAAGAGTAAATAAGCTTTAGGGAAATCTATACACATTTATAATCATTGATAATGTAGAAGACAGTGGTTAATAATTATAGTTATCAATTATAGGCCATCTCCTGGTTGTCATTTTGTATCTCTGAGCAACACTGAAAGTCTTGATTTCTTCAATGTCCCTATGATTCGAAATGTCAGATTTCCCTTTGTTCAAAATAATTTAAGAGTCTGTGATATTAGACATTAGTATGTTTATGAGAAAGGATAGAAAGGATATATATATATATATATATATA